TTTTGTGGTATTCAAGAGCTAGAGAAATTAGCTAGGAATACAGATAGTGGAACAGGACCTTGCTTGTGGTCTGTTCTTTGTCCCTGAGGAAGGCTAGGCCAAAGGCTATTGGCTAGGTTCCAGAAAGGGGGAATTTTGTTTGTGATTAATTTCCTGAGATAATCTCCTGCTTTGTTAACATCAAGATTTGAACCCCGAACCCATCTAAGAATTGTACATCCAACGTAACCAGAAGCTTATGTACCAGTAACTTACAGAAACCACTACGCATTTGTACCAGAAAAATTTAAGTCTGTTAAATAAACATTTTTTTATTGTTAACACCTTATAACAGCCTTCATCTGGGGAGGCCCTGCTCTCGGTCCCGCCTTCGTCACAAGTACGTTTGGCGGGGATGAGAGACAGGGCCTTCTTAGTGGTGGCCCCTCGGCTATGGAACGCCCTCCCTAGGGAGATCAGATCTACTCCCTCCCTCTTAACGTTTCGGCGGCAAGTTAAAACATGGCTATTCGAGCAAGCGTTTACAAATACAGAGTAGCTAATATAGGAAATCGAATGACCTGACAATGGAATTGGACAATGCTTGAGAATAATGAGACGCTGATGTTGCTTTTTTGCTTTTGTGATGTCTTATACTGTTTAATGTTTTTTATCTATGTTATGTTTTATGTATACTGATTTGTTGGAAATCGCCTTGAGTCGCCGATTGGCTGAGAAAGGCGGTATACAAATACAGTAAATAAATAAATAAACAAACAAACAAATGTATTGGTTAATTTTAATGTTGATGTATGATATTTTAGATTTTAGTGTTAGCACTGAATTTTTGGTGTCAGCCGGTCTGAGTCCCTTCTATGGACGTAGAGAAGATCGGGATCTAAAAGTTTTAAATAAATAAATAAATATTGTGAAACGATTAACACAGTATTTGGCATCTTAATAGGGTAAGGATTTTTAGATGAAGTAATAAAGAAAAAATTTTTTTTCTGGTATTTCAAATATTAAAACTAAAATGTGCCCAAGATTGAGCAGAATGTGGCTCATAAATCCTTTCTGGGTTTGAACAGAAGCACTGTGTCCTTAAGCAGAGAGAAGAAAAAGGAAATGAGTAACAGTTGAAAGATGGACCCCCTGAAATCTTTAGGGGGTGAGAGGTACTATTAATCTCCTGAAGTATGAAAATGTTTTCTATGTGAACATTTTGAGTGGTGAGTGAAATTGTGAGTTACAGCCCTGTGAGGTGCAAAGGAAGTTCCCCATACATAAACAGTGCCAATAAATACAGAATGTTCCCTGGATTGTCTGTCTTTGCATTCAAATAGATGTTAGTGTGCCAGTCCCTTTTACTCGGCAAGTTATTTTTTGTTCTCTTTTTCAAAATAGAAACTTTATCAGAATAAGAATGCATTAATGGCAAAACAGCTGGCCTGGATGATCTTCTATATGCTGAGTCAGGTTCAACACTTGTGATATGCAGCTTTTGCCTTTCCTGAAGCCAGCTTGCTGTGGGATCATAAATAGGTCTATTTTTTCCATGCTTCTATGCAGAATTAGTCTCTCCAGAAGTTTGTAAAGATGGCACAGCAAGGACATTGGTCTATAGATTTTTGAATCATTGTGGGCTTTGCCTGGTGTGAAGATGGCTATGACTTTTGCTTTCCTTCAGATTTTGGAGTTCTGACAGGATGCACTGCAGTTGTTCAGCTTCAGCAGACAGCACCTCGCTTTTGGGCCAAATTTTTGAATTTGTTCCATCTGTAGATTATCAGAGCTACACTAACTGGTTAACTTACACATTTATTTTGGACTAGCAGTCCCCTGCCACGCGTTGCTGTGGCCCTGTCTGTTGATCTGGAAAATAAAGTAATTATATGTAATGTCTTTATGCTTGTGGGTAAACAGTATTTCTTACTGTTTCTTTGTCAGTGTTGATGTGGAGAGTGTCTGGTTTGCCTACTCTGGAACATGCAACATATCATTGTCCTTCTTCAGGGGTTCCTTTCAAATTTATGACATTATATCTGTGTGTGTGTGAATCATATCTATCTATCTATATCTATGGCTGGATGGCTCTTTGTCAGGAGGGCTTTGATTAAGTGTTCTTGCCCTGGTGAAAGGAGTTGGACTGGATGGCCTTGAGTATTTTCTGTTGGTCATGGGGGTTCCGTGTGAGAAGCTTGGGCAAATTCTGTCGTTGGTGGAGTTCAAAACACTTTTTGATTGTAGGTGAACTATAAATCCCAGTAACTACAACATCCAAATGTCAAGGTCTAGTTCTCCCAAACCCCATCGGTGTACATATTTGGGGATATGGAATATTCATGCCAAGTTTGGTCCAGATCCATCATTGTTTGAGTCCATGGCAGTCTCTGGATGTAGGTCTCTGGATGTAGGTGAACTACAACTCCCAAATTCAAGGTCAATGCTCACCAAACCCTTCTAGTGTTTTCTTTGATCATGGGAGTCCTGTATGCCCTGGCTGGTTCAATTCTATCATGCTATTTGATTGTAGGTGAACTATAAATCCCGGCAACTACAACTCCCTATCTATCTATCTATCTATCTATCTATCTATCTATCTATCTGACTGGATGGCTCTTTGTCAGGAGGCGTTTTCTTGCCCTGATGAAGGGAGTTGGATTGGATGGCCTTAAGTATTTTCTGTTGGTCGTAGGTGTTCTGTGTGGGAAGTTTGCCCCAATTCTGTCGTTCGTAGGGTTCAGAATGCTCTTTGATTGTAGGTGAACTGTGAATCCCAATGACTACAACTCCCAAATGTCAAGGTCTATTTCCCCCAAATGCCATCTGTGTTCATATTTGGGTGTATTGAGTGATTGTGCCAAGTTTGGTCCAGATCCATCATTGTTTGAGTCCATAGTGCTCTCTGGATGTAAGTGAACTACAACTCCCAAACTCAAGGACCATACCCACCAAACCCTTCCAGTATTTTCTGTTGGTCATGGCAGTTCTGTATGCCAAGTTTGGTTCAATTCTATCGTTGATGGATTTTAGAATGCTCTTTGATTGTAGGTGAACTATAAATCCTAGCAACTACAACTCCCAAATGACAAATCATAATTTTTTGAGTGATGGTCACTCCTTGTGTTGTGAGACGTTTTGTTACCAAATTTGGTGTGATTTCATTCATTGGTTCTTTTGTTTTTAAGGTACTCATTATGCACAGAGCATTTATATATATATATAGATTTACAATTTGCCACTATTCAAAATTTAAGTCACCAAAAATCTTTTTTTTTTTGAACCCTGGAAGAGTTGGCACTAAAAGACTCATGCTTTTAAGAGGTTTGTAGATATTGTACAAGTGAATGTTGGCTTGAAAACTCAACTCCAAATTAGCATCTTTACCTTATAACCCATTTTCAGTAGTAGGTCCAACATCACTAAAAAAAACCCCAGCTTTATTTCTAGATAAGAGATCCTAGAACCTCAAACCTCGAGTAAAAACTTTTCTTCTAGATCAAAATGGGAACCAATTCTGGTCGACCTTTCTTTTTCTTGCGTGTGCATACATCACATATGTTCTTAATTTGCCTGTTTACTTACCCTGTCTTAATATCTAAATGTTCTACAAAATGTACATTGATGTGGCGTATGTTGTTTGCTCCTGTTCTCTGATGTTGTGTTTTGTACCATTTATTCTATGGGTGAATTAATGTGCGGTGCAAGCCAGACTTTATTATTTGCATACTCATTCCACAGTTATGATCCTCTGCATCTTAAATAACAAAAAAGTCAGATGAAAATATAACTTTATTCTAGCTGTACCTGCCACGCGTTGCTGTGGCCAGCCTTCCCTTCCTCTTTCTCTTCGGAACTCCCTCCCACTAGAGATTAGATCTGCTCCCTCCCTCCTGACCTTCAGGAAACTAACAAAGACCTGGCTTTGGAACGTGGCATTTGAGGACTGAGTCTATAACCTTCGTCCACATGGAAGGAGGATGATGAACTGTGACTGTGACTGTATTGATGACTTGGCTTGTGTAATGTGATGATGAACTTCCTGACTGTGAGAGCCGTTCAGCAGTGGAACTCTCTGCCCCGGAGTGTGGTGGAGGCTCCTTCTTTGGAAGCTTTTAAACAGAGGCTGGATGGCCATCTGTCAGGGGTGATTTGAATGCAATATTCCTGCTTCTTGGCAGGGGGTTGGACTGGACCCATGAGGTCTCTTCCAACTCTTTGATTCTATGTTTTTATTGTACTTATATTTTAATGTGTAATGATGATGCACTGTGTTGTTTTTGTATATTACTGTATATGAACACATGTTGTGAACTGGTCCGAGTCCCTCCTTGGAGACTTCTAAATTAAATAAATAAATCTTCTTTCACTCCTTCCTTCATTCCCCTTTCTTCTTTCCTTCCTTTCTTCCTTCTCTCTCTCTTTCCCTCTTTTCTTTTCCTTCCTCTTTCTCTCCTTTTCTTCCTTTTCCCCTTCCTTCTTTTTCTTCCTTTCTCCTTCCTTCCTTCCCTTTCTTCCTTCCCTTCTTCTTTCCTTCCTCTTCCTCCTTTTTCCTTCCTCCTTCCTTCCTCTCTTCTTCCTTCCTCCTTTCCTCCCTTCCCTTTTTTCTTTCCTTCTCTCCTCCCTTCCTTCTTTACCTCTTTCCTTCCTCCTCCATTTTTCTTTTCCTTGCTCTTTCTCTCCTCTCCTCTCTACCTCTTTCCTTCCTTCCTTTGCTCTTTGCTTTCATGATTCCTTCTCTCTTATCTTCTTTCTTTCTTTCTTTCTTCCCTTCTTTCCCTCCCTCTTCTTTCCCTTTTATTTGTCATTTTGCTTTTTTTGGGTTTTTAAGTCCTTTCTGCTGTTTTTTGTTATATTTCCCCAAATATTTCCTGCTGGTGCTTCACTGAGATGAGTCAAAATGTACTAACATCTACCAATCATACCTTTTGTCAATCCATTTTGGGAAAGTAAAAAAAATACCTAGGTTGGGAAAAGGTCCAATATCACTATATGAATTCAGCTGACTGTTTCCCCTCCAGGCCATATGAATCAGAAGGATGAAAAAGGAAAACATATTAAAGCGGAGACAGAAAATGGCACAGTTAATCTCAGAAGTCAGACCTGGTTCCAGTCTATGAAGCTGAAAGCGGCATGATAGAGCCTCGCCTACATAAATCAAGGAGCAACAAATCCTGCCTGCAAATTATGTTGATACTACTTTGAAGTGAATGTGTGGGTTTGTACCTAATGTTTGTTTATAAAATGCACGGATGCATACTATGTTATTTATTATGACTTTTTGATTTCAAACAACCATATGTGCAGAAATCATGAAAAAATAATCTGATTCCCAAATTTTGTTCATCATAATTCTAAATGGTGAAACATTTAGCAAACCTGTAAACTGAAACAAAAAAATTCCATAAACAATTTAATTGCCAACTTTGTAGCCTGTCTGCATTATTCAAAATACTTCTTGATCAAACACAGTACCATATATTCTGGCATATAATACTACTTTTTAACCCAAGAAAATCTTCTCAAAAGTCCGGGGTCGTCTTATACGCAAGAGTTGTCTTATATGCGGGAGTAGTCTTATACTCCCTGAGTTTCTCGGGGAGATAGAGCGGAATATAAATAAATTATAATTATTATTATCTATATATATAAAAAGAGAAAGCGCGTCCAACGGGACAGCAAAACACAAAAAAACCCCGATGAAAACTTACCAAATTTACCATGCACATACCTCAACCCACAAGGTATGCACAAACCGATTCAAAATTCTAAACAACATTTCGACACACTCACAATAATAAAAACCAACTGAGCATGCGCAAAGGCTCCCTGCCGCAAGTCCCCGGCGCGGGCACATGGCTGGCCGGCCAACGCATCCTCCGCGGAAGCCACGCCCCATCCTCCGTCGCCCCGCCCCTACCCTCCCATACGCCCTCTTTCCAACGCACCCTCCTTCTTCTTCCCCTGCCCACGCCCCCCACATTCACGCCCCTCCCCTGCCCCGCCCCTAAACGCCCATACCCCAATCTTACCTCCTTCCCCTCCTTCTTCCCCTGGCCACGCCTCCCCCCACGTTAACCACGCCCCCATGCCCCCCACGTTCACGCCACACCCCCCCCCCCGCCCCGCCCCTAAACCCATACCCCAACCTTACCTCCTCCCCCTCCTTCTTCTTCCCCCGCCCCCCCTCTCTCACACCCCCACGCCCCCCACGTTCACGCCACGCCCCCACCCCCCGCCGCCCCAGGCCCATACCCCAATCTTACCTCCTTCCCCTCCTTCTTCTTCCCCCAACCTTATCTCCTCCCTCTCCTTCTTCCCCCCGCCATGCCCCCCACGTTCACGCCAGGATGCCAGACTCAGAGGAAAGAAGAGAGAAAAGAAGAAGGAGAGAAAGGAAGGGAAAGAAGGGGAGAGGAAGGGAAAGAAGAGAAGGAAGGAAGGAAGGAAGAAAGAAAAAGGGGAAGGGGGGAGAGGAAGGAAAGAAGGAGGGGAAAAGGAAGGAGAGAAAGAGGAGGAGAAAAAGGGAAGGGAAGAGGAAGAGAAGGAAGGAAGGAAGGAAGGAAGGAAGGAAGGAAGGAAGGAAGGAAGGAAGGAAGGAGAGAAGGAAAGAAAAAAGGGAAGAAAGGAGCGGGGAGGGAAGAAAGGAAAGAAGGAGAGAAAGAGAAAGAAGGAGAGAAAGAGGAAGGGAAAGAAAGGGGGGGGAAGGAAGGAAGAGGAGGAGAAGGAAGGAAGGAGAGAAGAAAAGAAAAAAAAGGAAGGAAGGAGAGAAAGAGTGAGGGAGGTTGGCCACAGCAACGCGTAGCGGATACAGCTAGTTATTATTATTATTATTATTATTGTTATTATGAAGCTTTACTGCACATACAAAGCAAGATATATGTCATAAATAAATAAACATTTTAATGTTGGCAAATATTTATTTTACATGTCTGTTACGGATAACTGAAGTGAAACAAATTAGCGTACATAAAAATATCACTATGTAATTGTTAAATAATATTACTTGTTGGCAGATAAAAACAGGATCCTTCTGAAGAACTAAACAAATGGAAAAACTTAGACTATATTGATTTTGGAAAAAATGTAATAATATTGCCAGGAAGACTTATAAGAGCTATCCAATTAATACATCTCTTTTTAAAAAGAAGTATCTAAATTCCAACTAACAAGAGAAGAGTGATTTTTTAAATTATTATTATCATTTGCTTTTTAATTTGTTTGCACATTGCTTGGTTTCTCATCTACCCCTGAAATCTCGATTGTGGGGGGTGTAATGGGTTCAGCACTCTTTTCTACATGAAGTTTGAGGGCGGAGTGTTTGGAGGCCTCTGAGATTTTTTCTCCTGAAAACTCTGCTGCAGAAGCCATGGGACTCTCTAAGAGCTTTTTCTCTGGAGGTGATGATATGCTGCGCTCAGGCGACGAGGGACTATGCCGACCTTTGCTATGTTTCTTCAAGCTGGGTGAATCACTAACGGTATAACTAAACCAAAGTGGTGGGTCATCATCGTTGTATTCGTATTTTTGCAGTTTTGTGCAAAATTTTAGAACTGCTTGTCTGAAATAAACATGCATGAAATGATGCATAAATCAGCATTGTGAAAAATACAGCTTTTGTTGCGCAAAGAATAAGCAAGATATCAAATACATAGAAAGGTTTGAAATCAGTGATTTGTCATCTATGCCTACTGTAGACCGCCATATAATGAAATAGTCACAAGCATCTTAACTAATAACCGTGGATCTTTTATCAGGAGTAACTGTGAAGGCAAGACTTGGTGTGTAATATGTATGAAATTATTTTTTTATGTAAAAAGAGACCCCAAGAAAGCCCAAGAACCACAGAATAATAAATGGAGGAATGTAGGGGAGAATAGTGCTCTCACTTTCCACCCTGCCATAAGAGACTATATCTACACTATAAAATTAATGCCGTCACCACCCCCAGCTCCTTCAGAGTCAAGCCAGCCACTTCATGAATGGATGGTATCCTTGAAGTGACTGGCTTGATTCTGAAGGTCATTTACCCGGCCCTCACTCAGGGTCAACCTAAGTCTGAAATGACTTGAAAGCACACAACAAAACAACAACAATCCTATCTCATCAGCCAAAAGCAGGCCCACACTTCCTATTGAAATACTAATAAGTTTATATTTGTTAAAATTGTTCTTCATTTTAATTATTCTATTGTTTTTAAGTGTTTTTTGCACTACAAATAAGATATGTGCAGTGTGCATAGAATCCAAATTATGTTTTCTTCAAATTATAATCCGGCCTTCCAACAGTTTGAGGGACTGTTACCTGGCCCTCTGTTTAAAAAGTTTGAGGATCTCTGCATTAGATGTTCTAGAACAGCCATGGGCAAACTTCATCCCTCCAGGTGTTTTGGACTTCAACTCTCACAATCCCTAAGAGCCAGTAAGGTGGCTGATATTTCTGGGATTTGAAGTCCAGAACCCTCAGAGGGCCGAAGTTTGCCCATGCCTGATCTAGAAACTGAGCTTACCTGGTAATGCCTTTGCAGTACAGCATCTTAAGGATTCGGAGTTGCGGACAACCTTTCAACAGAAACCTGAGTCCTTTATCAGTGATATTTAGACAGCCTGAGATATCTAGGTAGTGAAGAAAACTGCAGCCCGCTGCCACAAATTGAATACCTACATCACTTATCTGTAAATCAAGTGAAATATAGAAAAACGAAGAGAGTGTTAGAGACTAGTAAAAGAAGGGAAATTTTAATCAGTTTGTAAAGTATTTAAATAATTTGAACATGAAAATTGTGTAACTAATATAGCCTTCAGAAAACAAATGCATTAATCTAGCACTAGTAGTAGTAAGAAGGGGCTAACTCTGAATTTGTTGAATGAAAAACTATATTATCAATCGAGAAGCACTACAGCTATGCCAGTCTGGAGTTGGCATAGTTATTCCCTACCATACATTCAATTGCATGAAAAATCTATGGAAAAATCAAACCACTACCATCGATCCACACATACAATTATCACTCTGTCTGTCATGAAGGCAAGGGTTTGGGAATGCAGAAGATCCATAGATTTCCTTCTAGCATTTCAGCCCTTTATGATTATGAGAAGACAGGCTCCACAGCCCATCCTGTATATAATGTGTACATCTGCTTTCTCCAATTCAGTTGCAGAGCTTTGAATATTCCAGGAATATCTTAACTGCAGAAGCTTGGCGTATTTTTCTCCCCAAACGCTGCCTTTCCCAACTTTTCCTACTACTTTTAAAAATTGTTTTGGACCATCTCTACCCAGCTGAAATACGTTTCATTTGTAACATATTACTATTCAGGCTGGACATATAGATAAACTTCTGTTTCTGAAGATACAGATTTTCAGAAGTGGTAATTCAATTTAGTTTCATATCTGATACATCTTTGGTAAATGTTGGAAATCAAGAGTCATAAGATAATTGGGTGTAGCAAAAGACTGACTGGGATGTTTAGGATGACAGAATTGGGGATGGTAGGCCCCCTCTATACTGCTATATAAAATCCAGATTATCTTATTTGAACTGGATTATATGGCAGTGGGACTCAAATAATCCAGTTCAAAGAAAAGAATGTAGATTATCTGACTTTGATAATCTAGATTATACAGCAATGTAGAAGAGGTTGTAGCCTGGTTTAATTTTTTATTGGTGTGGAATTTTTTTATCAGTGTTACTATATGACTTTGACTCCTTTTTAATTATTTACTATTGATATTTTTATATGGAAATACTAGGTCAGATATCCTCTCTCAAATATTGCAAGCTTAATTCTACTGAAGTAAATATGTTCTTCTAAGGCCCCTTCTACATTGCCATATAATCCAGATTATCAAATCAGATAATCCACATTCTTCCTCGTATAGTCTGTGAAATGCTCACATATGGGTTCTCCTGAACATGCGCAGCAATTTCAGAATCTTCTAGAGCAGTGTTTCTCAACCTGGGGGTCGGGACCCCTGGAGGGGTCGTGAGGGTGTGTCAGAGGGGTCACCAAAGACCATCTGAAAACAATATTTTCTGTTGGTCATGGGGGTTTTGTGTGGGAAGTTTGGCCCAATTCTAACCTTGGTGAGGTTCAGAATGTTCTTTGATTGTAGGTGAACAATAAATCCCAGCAACTACAACACCCAAATGCTAAGTCTATTTTCCCTATGCTCCACCAAAGTTCACATTTGGACATATTGATTTTCATGCCAAGTTTGGTCCAGATCCATCATTGTTTTGAGTCCACAGTGCTCTTGGGATTTAGGTGAACTACAACTTCAAAACTCAAGGTCAATGCCCACCAAACCTTTCGAGTAGTTTCTGTTGGTCATGGGAGTTCTGTGTGCCACGTTTGGTTCAATTCTATCATTGGTGGAGTTCAGAATGCTCTTTGATTGCAGATGAACTATAAATTCCAGCAACTACAACTCCCAAATGATGGAATCAATCCCCCCAATCCCACCAGTTTTTGAATTTGGGTGTATCGGGTCTTTGTGCCAAATTTGGTCCAGTGAATGAAAATACATCCTGCATAACAGTAGCAAAATTACAGTTGTGAAGTAGCAATGAAAATAATGTTATGGTTGGGGGTCATCACCACATGAGGAACTCTATTAAGGGGTCGTGGTACTTGGGAGGTTGAGAACCACTGTTCTAGAGCTTCTAGTTGAACTTTTTAGTGGAGGCCCCTGCCCATACTTCCCTTGTGTATATATGCCCAAGGGCAGTTCCTCTTTCCACCGTGACAACTACGAACTTCTCTGTAGCTTCAACTCCTGTTTTTCCCTCGTGCTTTCCTATCTACTTACCTGGACTCAACCTCGGACTCCCCACGATGACACTGACTTCTCCATCCATGACTTGAAACACTTCACTATGATTTGTGGGACCAGACTCCCCAATGCTGATGGCTGTAATAAGTGCCTATTATGTTTAGGGAAAACACACAGTCCACAAGACTGTATCATTTGCCAGGGCTTTACACCCCAAGTGTGCTGAAATAGAGATTCACAGTTAACCCATATGTGCGGATTTCACAGACTAACACTCCAAGCAATACGGTTACAGGTAAGCAACCTATACTTATCGGCTTTGAACTGGATTATCAAAGTCTACACTGCCATATGATCCAGTTCAAATCTGATAATCTGAATTTTATATGGCAGTGTAGAAGGGCCCTAAGAGAGTACCACATGTTTTATGCTTGTTGTGAGTTGCAAAACTATTTTAAAATATAAATTGCAATTAAAGTGGGATTGATCACAACCAGGAGGAAGGGTTGATTCAAACCTCTATCCCACAAACAAGTCAGATCTGACCTAGACACAAAATTTGTTCGGATCATTTGTAGTTTGGCCCCTAGTTAGTCTATTTAGAGGGCATATTTTCAAACCCCAGTTTTAATTTAACAAACCCCAATTATATTTAAATGTATCTAAATTAAATTTGAATCCTTCAGATGAATAGGCTAGATAGAATCCTGGAAACATTCGTTCACTAATACATTGGTTAAGCGTTGCCCCACCTCCACCGTGTTAGCATTAAAAAGAAACACTAACAGTGACAATTAGGGAATCTTCCACATTCCACATTCCAACACTATTTTGTCTGGCTTCTTTCATACATACCTTGGTACAACCAGCCATACTAAGAGTTGTAATCTTACGGCAATTGAACGTTAAATTTTTTAATGAGTGATTGGACAGCTGATGGCAGAAAGAAAAGTCCATGTAGTCCAGTCTTTTCAAATCAACACAGAATCTCTGGAACACAAATTACAAAGATCCAGAATGCATTTAAAATTCTTATCCAGTGAGTTTTGACTTATTGTTCTACAATGTCTTAACACTGAAAGCAATTGTATTGTCGAAGGCTTTCATGGCCTTCGACAATACACAGGGTTGTTGTAGGTTTTTTCGGGCTGTATGGCCATGGTCTAGAGGCATTCTCTCCTGACGTTTCACCTGCATCTATGGCAAGCATCCTCAGAGCTTAGTGAGGTTTGTTGGAACTAGGGGACAGAGGTGAGGTCTGCTGGAACTAGGAAAAAAGGGGTTTATATATCTGTAGAATGACCAGGGTGAGACAAAGGGCTTTTGTAAGTTGGGCTAGGTGTGAATCTTTCAACTGACCACCTTGATTAGCATACAATGGGCTGACTGTGCCTGGAGCAAACTTTTCTTGAAAGGTGATTAGATGTCCCTGCCTGTTTTTCTCTCTGCTGTTTTTGCTGTTGTAATTTTAGAGTTTTTTAATACTGCCAGAGGGACCACCAAACACAGCCTTGCCCAAACACGCATCAAGGAACATGAAAGGCACTGCAGACAACTTCAACCAGAGAAGTCAGCCATAGCAGAGCACCTGATGAACCAACCTGGACACAGCATATTATTTGAGAACACAGAAATGCTGGACCACTCTCACAACCACCATGTCAGACTACACAGTGAAGCCATTGAAATACACAAGCATGTGGACAATTTCAACAGAAAGGAGGAAACCATGAAAATGAACAAAATCTGGCTACCAGTATTAAAAAACTCTAAAATTACAACAGCAAAACAACAGAGAGAAAACAATCAGGCACATCTAATCACCTCTCAACAAAAGATTGCCCCAGGCACTGCCAGGCCATCAAATGCTAATCAAGGTGGTCAGTTGAAACATTCACACGTAGCTCCAGCAGATAAGAGTCCTTTGTCCCACCCTGGTCATTCCACAGATATATAAACCCTTTTTCCTAGTTTCCAACAGACCTCACTATCTCTGAGGATGCTTGCCATAGATGCAGGCGAAACGTCAGGAGAGAATGCCTCTAGACCATGACCATACAGCCAGAAAAAACCTACAACATCCCACTGAAAGCAATTGCTAATCCTCTCCAAACAATGAAGATATAGAATCTATTTTCTCTTTTATTCATAAGGTAAAAAACTTATTATGAATTATCTTACTACTTAATAGCCACAATCCTGGATAATAAACTTGCTCTATTTATTCTGCGCACACAATTCTATATCTTCTAATAGTATTCCCAGCAAAATCAATTTCCTCTTAGACAAAATATCTCACATAAGGCATCCGTTGCTTTGTACAATTTGCATACAAGTGTTACATTAAGGTAGTAATGGATTCCAGGAGGTACAGATTAGAGCCAGCCCTGAACATTAGGCAGAGATACGTAACTGCCACAAGCAAAGTGCTTCCATTGCTGTCTCTTGGAAGAACAGAACTGTTCTACAAAACCCTTTAAACTGCCTTGCTGCACTCAATAGTGGTTGGGAAAATGCTACCTCCACCATCACACTGAAGTTTAATTTCAGCTGACAGTCTCTAGGCCAGTGTTTCTTAACCTGGGGGTCAGGACCCCTGGGGAGGTTGCAAGGGGGTGTCAGAGGGGTCACCAAAGACCATCAGAAAACACAGGATTTTCTGTTGGTCATGGGAGTTCTGTGTGGGAAGTTTGGCCCAATTCTGTTGTTGGTGGGGTTCAGAATGCTCTTTGATTATAGGTGAACTATAAATCCCAGCTAGTACAACTCCCAAATGTCAAGGTCTATTTCCCCCCAAACTCCACCAGTGTTCACATTTGGGCATATTGAGTATTCATGCCAAGTTTGGTCCAGATCTATCATTATTTGCAGAGTGTTATCTGGATGTAGGTGAACTACAACTCCAAAACTCAAGGTCAATGCCCACCAAACCCTTCCAGTATTTTCTGTTGGTCATGGGAGTTCTGTGTGCCAAGTTTGGTTCAATTCCATCATTAGTGGAGTTGAGAATGCTCTTTGATTGTAGGTGAACTATAAATCCAAGAAACTACAACTCCCAAATGACAAAATCAATCCCCCTTCCCAACCCCACCAGTATTGAAATTTGGCAAATTGTGTATTTGTGCCAAATTTGGTCCAGTGAATGAAAATACATCCTACATATCAGATATTTACATTATGATTCATAATATTAGCAAAATTACAGTTATGAAGTCGCAACAAAAATAATGTTGTGGTTGTGGGTCACAATAATGTTGTAGTTGTGGGTCACCACAGCATGAGGAACTGCATTAAGGGGTCGCAGCAGTAGGAAGGTTGAGAACCACTGTCATAGACCAACTCATTTCCAACCAAGTTTTGAACTTGTTCTTTCAAGTTCAGATCTGTTAATTATCCACATGCCTTATACTCACTATGAAATCATGTAATCAAGATTTTTATATGCAATAGAAAAAAGACGCAATATCTGTTTATCATTATTAATAGAACATAATGTTCTTTCTACTTTAAGTACTCAAAATAGTAGAACATCAGATGGAATTAATAAGTGCACATAATAATGGTGCTGGCGAAGCAGCAAACTGATTATTTTCTCTCTTGCTTCCTTTCTCCCCTTTCTTCTCTCTTGTCCCATCCTCTAAAATACTTTTCAACAAACAGTGTCTGTGGTTAATGAATGTGCACGTGCTGTTTGAGAAATAAGTAACATCATTGAACTTATCTCATATATATTTGCTATTATAGATTGAGTATTCCTTATTCAAAATGTTTGGAATTAGAAGTATTGGGAATTTTGGATTTTTTTCTTTATTTTTTTTCTTTATTTTCTTATTCATGTGTTATTATAGCCGCCGTTGAAAGGTAGTGGAGTAATTTATCGTTTTTCATCATTTTTCTCTATTTCAAAGTCTCTGATTCCAAGTAGAAAATATTCAGGATTGAATTGAAAATTAAGATTCATTTTTTTTAATTTTCTCATATATTTCCTTCCACATTTTTTGCTTTCTTACATGGCCACCATATATGATAGAATGTCCCAGTACTCTCTTTGAATTTCCAGCATTTATCTTTAGTATTTTGATAATATGTTGAAAGCTTCTGAGATGTTAGGTACCATTGGTACATCATCTTGTGCCATTTTTTCTTCAAGTCATATGAATATGTATATTTTAATTTTACATTCAAAATTTTCTTCCATTCTTCTAGCCTTATTGTGTGCCCTATATTTGCAGCTCATTTGACCATGAAATCTTAAATCTGTTCTTCTGTTGACATTCCAAGCTTTTTTGTATATTTTCGTGATTAGTTCCTTATCTGTAACCAATATTTTTCCCCAGAATGTATCTTTCTTCATAAATCCCAATCTTTATCAAAACTTTCTCTTATTTGTGTGTGGCAAATTATTAATACCTTTTCACAGATAAATGAAGTAATGCAAGAGCACAATGCAGTCAATGCTAAATAGTAAGTATATTCAATGAAAGAGAATTGAAATGAAAGAGACTCCCATGGCCTGATCTGGCGTCCCAAGGTCTGGGAGCAGCTGGCACACAAGAATTAAGAGTAAAGGTTGGTTACGAGGAGAACAAATAAGAGCAGAACAGGGTTTTAAGAATCAAGAATGTGGGAAGAGATTATGTACATTTGATTTAATTGTTAAATCTACTGGTTCTATTTTTATTTTAAGAATGATCACGCTTTGGAATACACAACACACTGATCAACACAGCCAATTGTCCAGGATAGCAGCCACCAACTGTCCAGGATAGAAGTCCAACAGGAAAAAAAGATGGATGACTTGAGTCCAAGAGTTGGAACTTAGATAGGGGTTCCATCACAGCCTTCAATGATTAATCCTGTGCTGGATGGGGTTACACTCCTCTTGAAGGCACAGGTTCGCAGCTTGGGAGTCCTCCTGGACTCATCGCTGAGCCTGGAATCTCAGGATGCAGCGGTGGCTCGGGGTTTTTGCACAATTAAAACTTGTGCGCCAGTTGCGCCCATACCTTGGAAAGTCAGACTTGGCCACAGTGGTCCATGCTCTCGTCACATCTAGGTTAGATTACTGCAATGCCCTCTACGTGGGGTTGCCTTTGAAGACTGCTCGGAAGCTTCAACTAGTCCAGCGAGAGGCAGCCAGGTTAATAACTGGAGCGGCGTACAGGGAGCACACAACTCCCACGTGACGCTAGCTCCACTGGCTGCCAGTTTGCTACCGGGCACAATTCAAAGTGCTGGCTTTGGCCTATAAAGCCCTAAACGGCCCCGGCCCAATTTACCTATCCGAACGCATCTTCCCTTATGAACCACCACGGAGATTAAGATCTTCTGGGGAGGCCCTACTCTCGGTCCCATCACCATCACAGGCGCGTTTGGCGGGGACGAGAGACAGGGCCTTCTCAGTAATTGCCCCTTGGCTATGGAACTCCCTTCCTAATGAGATCAGGTCAGCCCCCTCCCTCTTGTCCTTTAGAAGGATGATAAAAATGTGGCTTTGGGACTGTGCAATGAGGCAGCGATAGGAACCCTTAGTATGCCAACCAAATTCGATATGGTTGTTGAGACAGTTTTAACTAGTGGATTTTAACATCGAGATATGTGATTTTAATGCTTTTGTATGTGTATGGTATAATATGATTCGGCATTGGATGTTTGCCGTTTATATGTTGTGCTCCACCGTGAGTCCCCTTTGGGGTGAGAAGGGTGGAATATAAATATAAATAATTCAAATGTTATTATTATTATTATTATTATTATTATTATTATTATTATTATCTTTATTTGTACCCCGCTAACATCTCCCGAAGGACTCAGTGCGGCTTACATAGGCCAAGGCCCTCAATAAAAAAATAGCATAACAAATAGACAATAAAACTCAAGCAAACCAATAAACATTAAGCAATAAACAATAAAACATTAAACAATAACATCATGACACAGTTAAAACTAGGGCCGGGCCAAATGTAATGAATAAAAATTAAAAGTGCTGG